ACTTCTACTACTTCTACTACTACTACCACCACCGCTACCAACTATATATTTTGCTTACTGCCATGCTTGCAACAGAATACTAGCACAAACAACAATGCTACAAGTAGTGTGTCACAAAGGGATGTCGACTATCTCCAAGGGAGGAGCGTACCCTAGTCAAGCAAGAGCGGTCGGATTGGCCACTGTTTCTGCATGTCAAACTACAAAGGGAGCGACAGCTAGTGCAAAACACTTTTCAGGCTTGCCCTGACAAGTCTATGACTCGGATCTAAATTCGGCCTTCAGGAGTAAAGTACTTCATGTTGAGATCTGTGCAATGCACACCCGCCCCCGCCCCCACCCCCACACCAATTTTGGCGGTGCAGTTACCTGCGGCATCTGACCAGTGATAAGGGTAAGAAAACAGTTTTAAAAGTATGCCAGCCGCTGCTTCGACTTTACTGCTTCGCAGTGTCGTTTCGCTCGTCAGCCGGCAAGAAGTGTTGCAAGCTGCACTAACCTGTCGCAGCCTGTCTAAGAATGACAGACAGAAATCACAGACTAACTAGACCTAAGTCTCTTTTTGAGGCACTGGGCCAGCGCCTTTTTCGCAGACCTCCTGAAACGTCCATCGTTGTGCACGATCCAGCTGCGCAACCTCCCTGAGTAGGAGCTAAAGGACACCACGCACTTGCGGTTGAGCACGCCGGCGACCCAAGAGAATCCGCTGGGTGCCTGATTACGGATCGCTGAGGTGATGCGGCTTTAACACGGTCTCTTGATTCTTTGGTTCAGGTTCGACCCGGATGTAGGGCTCACTTCCTTATCACTGCCCCTGCAAATCACAGCAAATGAGCCAACCAAAACCTTAGCGTATGCGGTCTTTTCAATACGTGCATAAACCTGCACATGCCACTTGCTGAGACAGTATGCGTCGACACCAGGGAGAAACAGCGCATCACACCAAAGCAGCACCAGAATTCAGAGCATGTAAAACTTGAGTGTTTGCGGCGTTGCTAAGTTTCACGAGTAGCCAACATGCTATCTTCTAAGCCTGTAGGATGAGTAGGATGTCCTGCTCAAGACACTCTGCACCAAGGGCTCACATATTTCCGGAAAGACCTCCAAACCCAAGAATTAAAAGCCTTTAGCCCTGATACCCAAACCCTGAAAGTTGAAAACCCAAGCACGCACCAAAGATACCATAGATACCCAAAATCCTGAAACCCCGGTATCAAGTGCGGGCCACCTGGATGAACACGTCCGCCTGCGCCATGTGCCTCCAGTCGTCCATCTCGTTGCGATCTAGGTGAACCTGCAGATTGCTAAACCCTATATCCTTCGCCCAATGGTTTACACCATGTAGACCGAAATAAAGCCTTAACTTGACCGTGAGTCGAAGTGCTTGGTTCGGGGTTTTGATCTTGAGAAAGAAGGTCTAGGGCTTAAGAAATAAAGCTTCAGCGCCTAAGGTCTTAAGAAGCACCTATAACTTCGGCTCTTTTCCAAATGAACGGATCTGGACAACAAAATAGCTAACCAGCAACGGAACTACACTGGAGGGTAATCACAGGTTTACCAAGGCCAGCCGCAACCACAAACTCCGAACCTGCAGGCTACAAGGCCTCAAAATTGCAAAAGGCGGACGGAAACATGAGACCCAAACGGATTCGAGTTGTAGGTGTTAAGGGTTATCGGGTCTTCGGATTTAGATGTTGAGGGTTGGTCAAGCGGACGCGCCTTGTAGCCGCGCGATCTGTAGATGTCGAAATCTTTGCTCCGATAGTTGCCCTCTTTGGTGGTGCTGAATACCTTGTCTAGCTGGGGCCTCTGGGGTTCAAGAGCTTTGGGCCATCTCCCCTTCTGGACCTATCAATCATGACTGCTTCCATGCTGAGCGGCGTAGATTTAGGCTGAGACTGCAGGGCTGGGGGTCTGGGGTACAAAGGCAAGGGCAAGAGAACTTACGCCCGCGTTAAGGCAGGCCCCAACACAAATTGAAAAACTGGCAGAGTGCATGGACATCCGCATCTTTCAGCATCTTTTTCACTACGGTGATGAGCTGGAGGTAGACCTGCATCTGGCATTTGGGCACGCTTTCCAGGTCTTAAGGATTTGTTGGTTTCAGGGGCCACCTTCCACACCAGTCAAGTCCTCAATCCGGGATTCGAGCATTGCGCATCCCTGACACAGTTATTCACAAATGGGCCTCCCCAGGTCGGCTAGGACACTGAAAGAAGCAAGCAGGAAAGATCCCAGCGGAAGCTTCAAGCCAAAAATCCCGATTGCCAGAAATCCGCAAGCCCTTAAACCAAAAAAGCACGAAAGCCCCAGCCCTCAGACCCTAACCTTAAGCCCCAAACCTCAAAGCCTAAATCCGAAGCCGTGTTTTAGGCGCTCTGACTGCATATAGACTGATGTAGACTCAAGCCCTAAACCCCATAAACCCACAATCCAAAGTCTCACGACCCTAAAGCCTAAATCCCCAACACCTAGGACCCAGAGCTTAAAGTCCTCTGCCCTAAAGCCTTATACAACTCTTCAATTTGCTTAGCCTTTCAGGGTCTCGGGGTTAGGGCCGTTAGGGTTTAGGGACGTTGAAGTCCCCCAAAACCCTAAACCCTCAACGCAAAGCTCGCGTCCGCCTTGTCGGGCTTGTCGCGGCCTCGTTGCCTGGCATTGGCGCTAATATCGCCTCTGCGAATATGGACCGCGATGTGGTGGCGTTTGCTCCTGTCCTCAGTGGGCCAGAGGGGATTGACAGTTTCGCTCAGAGTTCTAAGACACGACATGGGGCATCTGGGAGAAATGAGAACTACAAAAGCCACTGAAACAAGAACCGCGTCCGAGAGCCGTCATCGTAACTTAACTCTCGATGAGGGCTTATGAGGAGGTATGGGTGGTTGGGGTGTCCGGGGCAGAAGTAGCCAAACTCTGGACCGGAAGGCCCTGAATCCTCAACCCAAGCCCGTGGGAGGGAAGCTCGTCTGCTGGGGGACATACGCCTGTTCGATCCCGTCTCTCATATCCCCTCAAAACCTGCGGCGGGAGCCAAGGAAAAGGGAAAAGACAGAAAAACCTGGGCCCTGAACCCAAGCCCAATCTCAGCCTAAACTACTACACTGCTCACACCAAATCCTCACCACGATCTAAACTGAGGAGCCTTGAGAACAACCAGGACATCATCAAGAAAGAGACATACATTGACAATAAATCTAACCTCTAAGACACTTAACCCCAAACCCCTGCAAGCCCTATGCCTAACTCTCTACACACCAGATAGCACTCTGAAGCCCCAAAGCTTGAAGCCCTTTAACTCCATACCCTCAACCCGCAAGCGCCACAAAACCCCCATCAGCCTCTGTGGAAACCATTCTTACGCCCAAACTCCACTCTGACTTTGCTAGCCTGGCATCAAAGTCCGGTGCGGGGCCTTTCAGAAGCGTAGAGTGTCGACGCAAATCATTAAGAAAGCCTCGGGTCTTTCGTTCGGCTTGTCCGCTTTTTCGTCTGAGTTTCAGTGTCGGTGGCTTTCTGTTTTTTGAGTTTTGGGGATTAGGGGGCCTTAGAAGCATGGTGAAAAGCAGCGATCACTACAGTAAGTCCCATGATCATTCCAGAATGGCTTTAGACTTTATACGGATTCGGGCTTTGATTGACTAAGGGTCATGAAATCAGCGTTTCTGCGGCTTTGGGTCTGATTTGGGCTTCACCTCGAGAGCTTGACGGTTCAGGGTGGGAGGGGCTTAAAGCCTGACGCAATAAGGGTCTGGTCAGTCTTACCCTACATCCCAAAACTTTGAAACCCCCAAATCCTAAACCCTAAGACTCACGGTCTTAGTCCCGGTGGGTTTCAGGGATCTGCTTGAAATCGTCATGGGACTTTTACGGAGTTTCGACGAATGAAACAAGGTTTAGAGCCCAGAGTGGGCATGGCACCGGGTTAAGAGTTTTTGGGCCGATGGGGCAGAGGGGCTTGGGGCATGCAGGCATGCCGTTTGTGCAAAGTGGCCTTTCGTCAGGAAGTTGACGATGTCCCTGCCAAAATTGCACTGGTGATAGAGCACATTGTGACCTGTGCATTGCGGAGCTTTCACTTAGCCGAATCTATAATCCCATATCGGTTGACGAAGGATCTCTCTTTAAATCATCAGCAGGCATATCACTACTATAGAGGTTATTAAGTGTTACTGCTACTGTTGTTGTTGTTGTTGTTGTTGTTGTTGTTGTTGTTGTTGCTGTTGTTGTTGTTGTTGTTGTTGTTGTTGTTGCTGTTGTTGTTGTTGTTGTCGTTGCTGTTGTTGTTCTTGTTGTCGTTGTCGTTGTAACGGTTGCTGTGTTGATGTTGCTGTTGCTGTTGTTGCTGCTGTTGCTGTTGCTGCTGTGGTTGCTGATGTTGCTGTTGATGCTACTATTGGTAATGCTGTCGTTGCTGTTGCCGTTGCTGTTGTATTGATGTTGATGTTGATGTTGTTGTTGTTCTTATTGTTGTTGTCGGTGCGGTGGTGGTGGTGGTGGTGGTGGTGGTGGTGGCGGTGGTGGTGGTGGTGGTGGTGGTGGTGGTGGTGTCGGTGGTGTCGGTGGTGGTGTTGTTGCCTTTGCTTTTGTTGTGGTTGGTGGTGGTGTTGGTGGTGGTGATGGTGGTGGTGGCGGTGATGGTGCGGGTGGCGTCGGTGGTGTTGTTGCTGGTGATGTTGTTGATGTTGTTGTTGTTGCTGCTAGTGGTTGGTGTGGCTGGTGTTGTTGCTGCTGCTGCTGCTGCTGCTGTAGTTGTAGTTGTAGTTGTAGTTGTAGTTGTAGTTGTAGTTGTAGTTGCTGTTGCTGTTGCTGTTGCTGTTGTTGTTGTTGCTGTTGCTGTTGCTGTTGCTGTTGCTGTTGCTGTTGCTGTTGTTGTTGTTG